TTTTTTTTCAGTCTTAAATTGTTTTTTGTTACATAAAATGTGTGTGTTTTCAGGTACAGCTTGTCATACATCCCATGTGTGAGGTTTGTAGATTTTGCTCCATTTATTCAAATCTTCTGTATAAATAATCAGAAAAAAAGTGGTGTTCAAAGCCTAAATGTCTGGTTTATGTTCTTTACCTTCCAGAGAAGCAATCATGAGGATGCTGGCCGTGTGCATCAAATAGGTCATGTGTGTTTGCGGTGAAGGTTCAGCTTGGATGAAGTGTTGAAGAATTGGGCAGGTCTCTTACTGAAGTTGCTAAAATTGGCTCCTTTAGAGAGTCTCTGACCCTTCCTGCTGCTCAGGCATTTGTTTATAGGTGAAAAAGAAGCAAATTTTCTATTTATCTTTCTCAGTTGTGCTACATTGATTGATCTGATCTGATTAATTTTTGGTGACCACTCAAATTTAACCAGTTTATAATGATTGTAGACTTTGTTTGTAATATGTGTAAATATCTGTAATAAATCAGTATTTTAAACTTTTTAAATGTGTTGTTGTTGATTTTCGTTTTCATCTTGCTCTGAAAAAAATCTATTTTTATTAAAAGTTCTTATGGTCTTAAATTGTGTTGGTATTTGAATGTGAAGCTCAAATAGTTAACCAGGGTATGAACAGGTCCTGTTAATTTTATAATATGCAAAATGCATTTTTTTTTTAATGGTGAATTTTTAGTTATCTGGAATTATCTCTCATTTAGTATAAGTTTATATTTTTGGTTCTTGTTTCTGTTTTCAGAACTAAACTGTCAGAAAATCTGTTTTACATTAAAACTCGAAGCACTTATTTTTACATCTATTTGTGGAACTTTTAGGACCTTTTCTTATTATTTTGTTTCTAGGGAGCCTGTTTTTTGTCATTTCAAAGTCTTTTTGTTGGACATTGGCTTCCTTTTCGCTCATTTTCAGTCCAGTACTCGAACCCGTCCATTTAAAGAGGAATATATTTTGTTTTCTGAGGTCATGAGTAATTCAAGCATAAAAAAAGACCCCGGGCTTCAGAGATTAACCAGTGTGACTTCTAGCAAAGAAAGCACCATTAAATTGTATTATCAGGCACTTAGTTACTAGCGACCTGTCACAAAAAGCCAAAGTTTGTAAAATGTGCAAATTCTTAACCGTTTCTAGAATTTAAAAACCGTTTTCCCCTTATATTCTGTAGTTGCATTTATGTTTGCATATATTTCCCGTTTTCCTAGCAAAATATAAAGAAATGAGCGTTGCTCAAGAAAGAAAACAAACTTTTGGCGAAGTTAAAAAAAAAACGCGCGCCTTTCCGTAGCGTCACGTGACCCAGTCAGGAAGCATAAACTGTATGAAAACAACAGTGGGAACTTGCATGTCTGTACATGTCTGATAAAGTCGTCTTTCGTATAAATTTTAGTCCTGCTGATCAGCAAACATGTCGGATATTTTGGTGAGAATAAAAAACAGCATCGCGGAGAAAAAGAAGGCGGATATTGCTCAAAGTGACCTGAAGAAATGGGGATTGAGAGGTAGAAAGGCTATTTTTAACCTGGACGACTGACTTGCAGAGTACATACAGACTTCAGGCTGTCTTCACTCATTCACAGTGACATGGCGTTTTCTGTGGATACAAACTAAACGCACTTAGAGCAGATTAATCCACTTTCAGCGCCGTCCTATATGTAACTTCCAGGGATTATATTAAACGTGCTCCAGCGGTGATGATCTTTCTCCTCACAGGGATACAGCTGAGACCCTACCAGCTGGACGGGGTGCACTGGTTAACTCAGTGCCTGAAGAACCAGCAGGGATGCATCTTAGGAGACGAGATGGGTTTGGGTAAAACCTGCCAGGTATGACATCATCTGTTTACCTGTAATCCAGAGCCCTGGCATTGCTGGACAGTTTTTATATAGGCGGTGAGGCTTGGAGCGTCTGTTACACTGGGGGTGCACAGAAGTTGATTCTAAAAAGCCTCAGTGCCATGTGACATATCAGTTGTGCCTTTCGTTATATTTTTTATAGCACTTTTCTGTCACTTGGACCTAACGTGACATTTGTATAATTACTATAATTACATTTATTTTAATGCAGTTTTTCTACTCCATAGGCATATACCTTTATGACATTAGCATACACTGGATCAGAGCCAGTGCTCTTCAAAGTTAAGCAATGTTTCTCTGAAGAGAGATTCTTGGTTTCCAAGTGGCTTGTTAGACAAATTACACACTTTGCTTCAATTGAATGAGAAGTTTTCCCCTTATGTGTCACACACTCATGAATCTGACCATTTGGGGGCTGCTTTATATATGGCTTATTATTTACATGTTCTAACGGTGTCCTGGTCATCATGTATCCCTTCAGACGATCTCTCTGCTGGTGTACATGTCAGGGGCTCTCAGGAAGAAAGGACCATTTCTGGTGCTGAGCCCACTCTCTGTCCTGGAGAACTGGAGGAATGAGTTGGAAAGGTGGAGCTACATTAACCAGTGATTTGACACATTATCATTTCATTTGATAATGTGCTTTTAGCGCTGTCTGTAAACCTGTGTGTGCCTCGCTTTCAGCTTCGCTCCCTCACTGACGGTCCTGGTTTACAAAGGAGACAAAGAAAGGCGGGCAGAGATCCAGCAGGAGGCGAACTCTCAGGACTTCCATGTTCTTCTCACTACATATGAGGTCGGAGGCTATTAAGTGAAAACAAAACAGGATAAGGTTTCACCTTTGTTAAAACTTATATATATATATAAATATATATATTTATATATATTTAAACTGTTATTTCCAGCTGTGTCTCAAAGATGCTTCATTCTTGAAACGGTGAGTTTGTACTTATTCTTGATCTACATAAACTGCTCTGGAAACAATGTACTGTGAGGAAAATGTAACTGTGGTGTCCTAATACAAGTTTATATAGTTTTAAGCAAGAGGTGACAGAAAAAAGGACCAGCACCAACAGAGATGTTGCTTTTAGATCGCTCTGTGTCGGCTCTTCCTGTCCTTCACCCAGTAAGATCGGCTTAAACTGCAGTCATCTAGGTTAGCGACCTGTATGCCTGAGAAGACCATATTATTCTAGCCACACTACAAAACCAAGACTAGAAAAAACTGTCAAAAACAAAGCTTTAATATTAGTCTGAAGCCTGTGTGTCTGTAGTAATCTACAGAGATTATTAGAGAGGGTCATTCTTTTAAACGTGAGCCATTTTTAATATAAGCAATCCACCTTTGTATCAAATTATATGTGACAGAAGAAAAGGAAGAGAATAATGGTCTTTAAAAGGTTTGTTCACTGAGAACAAAGTTTTCATGTGCTGATATTTCCCTTATCTCTTCCTCAGGTGGAAGTGGAAGGTGCTTGTGGTTGATGAAGCTCACAGGTTGAAGAATCAAAACTCGCTGTTGCATAAAACTTTGACAGAGGTACTAAGCAACACCTGGTTTGGGCAGATTTCTTCATTGTCTTTCCCTTGACCTCTTAAATCAAGTTTGTTTGTGTTCTTCTCTTGTAGTTCTTGGTGGGATTCAGAGTCTTGCTGACAGGGACTCCCATTCAGAACAACCTGCAGGAGCTCTACTCCCTGCTGAGCTTCATCCAGCCCAGCATCTTTATACCAGAAGACACAGACAGCTTTGTCAACTTTTACTCTGATGTACAAAGTCAGCCTGCCTTGGGTACGATACATAATTATAGCATAACAAAGCATAGTTTACATTCAGTGTTATTTCTGAGTCCATGCGTCTCTCCATATCCAAATAAATGTTTTGAAATATAATGGGTGAATATTGGTCACAAAAAAGTGCAGTACAGTAATGCACTGTAGGAACGCTAACCATGAATCTTATTCCTTTTATAGCTGCTGAGCTCCAAAGCATCCTGGAGCCCTTCCTGCTCCGTAGAGTCAAATCTCAGGTGGCCGTCGATCTGCCCAAGAAAACCGAGCTGGTGGTTTATCACGGCATGTCCGCTCTGCAGAAGAAATACTACAAAGCTGTTCTGATGAAGGATCTGGGTGAGACTTGGGCGCTATGGTGTGCTGTGTCATTTATAAATGCATTTTCTCTGCAGTACTTACCCTGCCTCTTTACTTATAGCATTAGTATGAAAGCACCAGCTCAGCTTATCACTGATTTTTACAGTTGGCATAACAGACACTAAATCCTGACTTCTCTCTATCAGTTCTCTCTATTTTAGAGTTGGTTTTAAGGTTTTACTCATCACCTTAAAGTACTTCTGGGTCTGGTCTCCAGTTGTGTAGGAGAAATGTGCTATTTTTTTGTCTGTTCCAAAGTCAATGAATAAACCTGAAGGTGATCA